AAAAAAAAAAAAACTATAAAAAGATTGCTCCAAAATCATTTTTTGTTTTAAATTTAAGATTCCAAGTTAAATTATAATATATATATTGTTGCCTTTTGTCTAATTAATATTATCACACGCTTGATTAATTAGGAAGGTCAATGATGATATAATTTTTTATAAATTTTTTAGTTTTAACATTGATGACTTGTTGAATTAGGCCTTCGAGCCCAATGATTCGTCCCTAAACCATAGTGGTTGGATTTAATTAATTGAGAATTTGATCCCCAGTAACACCTTAAAAAAATTCCCCATTCCCCCTAATTCCTCCACCTTCAAAAGAAAAAAAAGCATTGATGACTTGTCTTTAAATAAATAAAAAAATTATTCTTAAAACATGTCAACTAGATTATTGATGAGTTGTAGATTATTCTTTGTAAGCTAGATTTTATTTTGAAATATTGATCTAAGTTTACGTGAACTATTAGTAATGAATTTAGCAAGTTCTGAGCCTTGTGCATTTGTGGGATTCTCTCACAAGTGTACGACATCTATTTTGCCCCCGGATTTAGGTTTTGGGGTGTGACACCTTAAAAGAAATGAGTGACGACTACACCATGAAAATAAACTCTAAGGATAAAGAAAATATCAAAACAAAAATTTTTGGTGAGCTATAAATTCAATAAGTATAATGTATTATAAAATATTTTATAACCAAGGTATGCAAATAAGTAAAAATTTGGAATAAGTACACTTATTTACATATGCTCCTACATATTATATCAATCAATTAAATCATAACTCAAGTTTACAAGATTACTAAGCATTTATAACCCACACTATTCCCACTAAGTACATAACAAAGCATATAGCTATATATATAATCATAATCATGGAATAACTAGGGTAAGCTAGCAATACACCATCATCATCCTATCTCGCTCAGATGTGGCATGTCATTCATTAGAATGCATCAGCTATTGCACAAAAGGCACCTCAAGTTAAAATATCTACAAGGATCCACAAAGAATCCTAGTATATTTCAAATCTGTCATCTTCTTGAAATTGGGGCTAAGTTTTTATGACATAATATACCACATAATATACCACAACAATATTCATGTTTCAAATTTAAGTTCAACTTCTACATGTTATGTCCTTTTTCTAAAGAGTAGGCATCTCAAAGTTAGGGAACATAATCATGTTAAAAATCAAGAGTTCACCAAGTCAATAAAACTAATATCTCAACCAATGACAATAACTACTTAGCATAACCATATTCATCAAATATCTTCATTACATTCCTAAATAAATATTATGCCATACAAACTTTGTAACTTAAACATAACCCAAAACAATTAGGATTTATAGGTTGTGAAATGCATTTAGAAAATATCTTTTAAAAACTCCTTTTAAGTTGATAAACCTTACTATGTGCGTGAACAGTACTCATGAATGGTAAAATAGGTTAAAATACCATTTTGGTCCCTCAACTTTTCATCTTGGTACCAAAATTGTCCCTTAACTTCAAAAAGTGTCAAAATTATCCTTAAACTTTCATTTTTGGTATCGATTTGATCCTTCCATCAATTAAATGGATAGGTGGCACATTAAGTTGCTAGAAAATTGTTTTTTTTTTGAAAAAATATTGACATGGAAAAGATAACACACGTAAATTGATGAGGTTGCACTTTTTTTTTTTGTTTACATGGCATTTTTAATTTTAACAAATAAATAGGGAATCATTTATTATTAATTAATTAAAGTCATTTCTAAAATTAACCTTTTGCTTTCGTATTCTCCCATTCTTCTTCACTCTTCCCCTCTTTCTCTCTCTCATCCCTGGGCCATCATTTCTTCTCCATCTCCTCCAATATCTCCTCCCTTTCCATTTTTTCAATTTATCCCCTTCCCCATTTCATAAATTTAACATGTGACGTTGGGAAGAAATGACTAGAGCCTTATTTGTTTTCTAATCTTAAAACCTCTACCAAGGGTCAGCCTCTTCGCTTGACAATCCATGCCATTGGATTAATTACCACCTTGAACAAGAAACAGATCCGAGTGTCAGCAACTGAATCGTTTTGAACCATGACAACCATTGTTGGAGATGAACTGTTGTGGCTTCACTCAAATGAACATGATTTAGATAGTCTGAAATTGACTATGGAAGTAGGTGAAGCAAAGGGTATTTAGGGAGAACTAAAGGTGGAGAAGAAAAGGAGAGAAGGTTTGAGATAGAACAAATTGATTTAGGGTTAGTTCTCAACCTAAATCTGGGTCCTCGAAAAACCAAATCTAGGTTGAGAATCTAACAAATTTGAGATTACATATTTTTGTTGGGTTGAGAACCTAACAAATTTGAGATTACATATTCAATTTTGGAAGAGGAAGATTGAGAATTTTGCAAAAAATGCTTATTTTTGTTTATGGTAAGAAGGTCCATGGCTGGGTTTTAACTAGAGATCGAGAAGGGAGAATCAATGGTGTTGAGAAGTGGAATCGTAATATGCTTTCAAGGTTTAAGGTTTACAGAGGTAGGGGAAAAGGAAAGGAGTTTTACAATTTGCAGAGGTAGGTGAAAACGAAAGGTAAAGGAGAGAGAAAGTGAAAGAGGAAGAAGAGATCGCCTTTTTTTTTTTTTGATGTGAATGAAAAAAAAAAAGATGTCATTATTTTTAAATTAAATAAAAATGCCAACTCATAAAAAAAGGGATGG